CCCAATGGAAGCACTCTCAGGTGATCAGGTCCAGGCACTGTCAAGGCTGGGTGCTCCCAGGGGCTGGAATGCCTGAAGGAATATGGGATGTGGAGTCACACATCAACCCCATCTCAGGTAGTTTCAGCAGGCAGAGCAAGTGTGACACCTCAGAAGTGTCCCCTGAGGGACACCTCGTGCTGCTGCTCCGGCTCCTCCCGGCTCCGGGTGAAGCCTCCAGAGAAGCCTGATTTTGGCTCACCAGCTTCCAGAGCAGGGTGCTGGAAGCAGAGGCAGCAGGTGGGGTGGGGAGGAGTCCTCTGTCTGCCCCAGAGACTCCCCCAAAGCAGACGTGAAGCTGAACTGGACCTGCTGGACCCCACATTGTTGGTGGAAGCGGATGTGGGATGGATGAATTCCAGGTGAGCGGCTTCCGCGAGGAGGAGAGCCCTGTGCTCACCTGGGCACAGAAAGGGCTGCTGCTCTTTCACACCAACGACCTTTTCTCGGAGCTGCTCCCGCTCAGCATTCCCGTGGGATGCCCGTCCGTGTGCCTGGGAGAGGAGGAGCCGCAGGATGTGGGCACCGAGCGTAGAGAAATCACGACGATCCACTGGGGACGTTCGGGAGCTCCAGAGCTGCTTAATCAACACTGCCACGGCACTGTTTGTTTTATTCATAATCCACTCTGGCTGCTGCTCAGGAATCAGGCCTGGATCCGGCGGGGATGGGCTGCGGCTCCTCCGGATGCAGGGGCTGGAGGCCTCAAGGTGCCTCCTGGCGCGGGGCGATAAAGCGGGTGAGGAAGCACGTTGTCATTCCAGGTGGAAGCACGCCAAGGGATGCTCCGCTCCTGCCCGATGGAAAACATCCAGCCCGTTCCAGGCAGCTTTTCTCGTGGCTCTTTTCCTCCGTGGATGATTTTTTTGCTTCATGGAAAGGGTTGTCAAGCACTGGAAGGGGCTGCCCCGGGAGGTGGCGAGTCCCCGTCCCTGGAGGTGTCCAGGGAGTGGCTGGACGTGGCACTTGGTGCTCTGGTGGTGGTCGGTCACAGGTTGGACTCCATGACCTTGGAGGTCTTTTCCAGCCTCAGTGATTCGGGGATTCTGTTTTCCAGTTGTTCCCAGAGCAGAGCCTGAACCTGGAGCAGCTGCAGGGCTGACACAGGTCTCTATCAAACAGGCATTAACATGAAATATGACGAAAGTAATTAACATCCTTTAATTGAAATTGAGCCTGCCAAAGGAGCCCAAACAAAAATGGTGGCATCCTTTGCAATTATTGGAAAACTCGTTATAAATACCCCTTGGATAGATGTTGGCTCCGGAGATATTTGGAATTAATGACTCCTTAATGATCCCAAACTGACTGTGCTGCAGGATCAATGTGGCAGACGGGACCCGGGCTGGGAGGGTGTGATTGATGCTTCCCCAGTGCCACTCCAGAGAGGAGCTGTGGGAATCTGGGGCTGTTCCTTGGATCTTTGGGTCACCTGTGCAAGGACCAGCTGTTGGTCCAGCAGCAGCAGCATTTCCCAAACTCACGTGAAACGTGATGCTGAGAAGTGCCACAACCCTGCCGGGGGTGCCAAGGGGCAGGACCAGCCAGGGAACTCCCGGTTCCTCCGGTGGTTTGGGAACAGCATCAGTGCCACAGTGAGGGCAGGGCAGATGTGGAGACAGGAGCTTGGAGAAGGGAAATGGCTGGAGAGGGATCCTGCCCGCTGACACGAGGGTCTGTGAGGGCTCTCACAGCTCTGAGCGGTGCTAGAGGGGCTCAGGGCCTGGCACCGTGGTGATCCCACCCTGTGCCCGCTGCCCACGTGTGGATCCCTGCCTGGAGTGTGAGTGCCAGGCCCTGGCTGAGCGAGCCCTGGCCGATGGGAGCAGCAGGGTTCACATCTCCTGGGGGGGCAAAGCTGGTGTGAGCAGCAGCAGGGTGAGGTGTGGGGGGGTGGGAGTGGCAGTGGGGCACAGGGTCGCTGTGAGTGGCAGTGGGGCACTGGGTCGGTGTGAGTGGCAGTGGGGCACAGGGCTCGGTTTGGGCCCTGGGCCCTGTGACAGAGGGGCACAGGGTTGGCATGAGCAGCTGTGGAGGATGGGGTGTAGGTTGGTGTGAGCGGCAGTGGGGCACTGGGTCGGTGTGAGTGGCAGCAGGGCCCGGGGCTCAGTTTGGTGTGACAGAGGGGCACAGGGTTGGCATGAGCAGCTGTGGAGGATGGGGTGTAGGTTGGTGTGAGCTGCAGTGGGGCACTGGGTCGGTGTGAGTGGCATCGAGGCGCTGGGTGCAGCTTGGCAGGAGCAACAACAGGGAGCAGGGTTGGCATGAAAAGCAGCGGGGCACAGAGTGGGGAACAGCGCGGGGTGGTGTGAGCAGCAGTGGGGTGCAGGGTTGCTGTGGGTGGCAGCGGGGCACAGGGTTGGCACGAGCAGCCGTGGGGTGAGAGTGCTGGTCAGAGTGAAAGCAGAGGGTGCAGGTTGGCACGAGCAGCAGGGGGGCACAGGGTGCACGTTGGTGTGAGAGGCCGTGGGGCACAGGGGCGGTGTGAGTGGCAGTGGGGTGCAGGGTGTGGGGCACCGTGAGTGGCAGAGGGGCACAGGGTTGGCACGAGCCATCAGTGGGGCGCAGAGTGCAGGGTGGCACGAGTGGCAGTGGGGCACAGAGTGCAGGGTGGCATGAGCGGGCAGCAGGGTGCTGAGTGTGGGTGGGTGTGAGTGACAGCGGGGCACGGGGTCGGTGTGAGTGGCACTGGGTGCAGGGCAGCAGAGGGGCACTGGGCACGGGTAGGTGTGAGCAGCAGTGGGGTGCAGGGTCGGTGTGAGCGGCACTGGAGCGCTGGGCACGGCTCTGTGTGAGTGGCAGTGGGAGGCAGGGTTGGCGTGAGTGGCAGTGGGGCACAGAGCGGGGTGAGGGTGCGGGTTGGTGAGTGGGAGCAGGGCGCTGGGTGGGTGTGAGCGGCCGTGGGGCACAGGGCAGCACCGGGGTGCTGGGTGCAGGCTGGCACGAGGGGCAGCGGGCACAGGGTCGGTGTGAGCGGCAGCGGGACGGGGATCTCGGCCGTGCTGCACATTCCCGGGAGCCGCCCGCGATTCCTCCGGTTCCGCGCGCTGCTCGTGACTGTTGCTAAAAACATAAAGGGGCCTTTTGGAGAGCTGAGCTGGGCTTTCATATCTCTGCATTGACTCAAAATGCTGCCGGAGTGACATTTAGAAGCATTGTAAGCAAAGGGGAGCTATTTATTCGTGATTAAGTGGTTTTTCCCTCGAGGACAGGAGTGCCGCGCCGAGGCTGAGGCGGGCGGGGGACCCGCGGTGACGGTCCCGGTGACGGTCCCGGTGACAGTCCCGCTAGCTGAGGTTGTGCCGGGGGATGGGAAGTTTGAGGAGAGGTTTTGGGGTGCCAGGAGGGGAAGTCGTGCCGCTCCTGTTGGATTTTGGCGTTGGGTCGCCCTTCCCGGCTCTCTGATGGTCTCTGTATGGTGGTGGGGGGCCGCTGGCAGCGCGTGCTCCCGGGGGAAGCTCAGTCCCATTCCGAGGGACGCCGTCCCCTCTCCCACTCCCTCCTCCCTCTCCCCTGTACCCCTTGGCGTGATGGTCATTTTAGGGGCGGAACATAGGGGACAGCTCCTTCAGCCGGCACCGTGCGGGGTCTGCGGGGTCCCACCCCACTGCACCCTCGGGGGGCAGCCCGATGGGGGCCCCCCCAGAGCGACAACGGGGGGGCTGCGGGGCGACGATGTGCGAACCCAAGCGGGGTGGGAGTGCAGACTGGGGGGCTTGGGCGGTGCAGACATGGAGCTGGGGTTGCAAACGTGGAGCTGGGGGGGAAACAGCGGCTGCAGAGGCAGGACTAGGGAGGGAGGGACCAGGAGGCTGCAGCCGGTGCCGAGCCCCCCGAGTGCGGGGGCTGCGAGCGGCGGGGCTGCGGCGGCGGCGCTGGCAGCTGCGGGGGGCTGCGGGGACCCCCCGCCCCGGGCACTGCTGCTGTGCAGAGCGCACCGCGGGCACCTCGAGCCCCGGGAGCGGGAGCCGGGCAACCCCCGCCCGCGAATCTCTGCAAGCCCGGCACCGCCCCCCGCACACTGCCGGGGGCCGGGCATCGCCCCCCTAAAACTGCCCCTCCCGCCCACTGCCTGACCGGGATACCCCCTCAAAACTGCCCCTCCCGCCCACTGCCTGACCGGGATACCCCCTCAAAACTGCCCCTCCCGCACATTGCCTGCCCGGGATACCCCCTCAAAACTGCCCCTCCCGCATATTGCCTGCCCGGGATACCCCCCCAGAAGTGCCCCCCTGCACATTGCCTGGATGGGCATCGCCCCCCCAGACTGCCCCCCGCACACCCCACCGCTGACCTGTCCCCTCCGCAGTTGCCCGGCCGGGCTGCGCCCCCCAAACACACCGACCCTCCCGAAACTGCCTCCCCGCACACTCCCCGCCCTGACCCGCCCCTCCAAACTGCCCCTCGGGCATCTCCCCCAAAACCGTCCCCCCGCACCGCCCTTTCCCCCGCGCGCTGCTCCCCCGGGACCTTTCCCCCCTCCCGGGCCGCTCCCGTCCCGTGCCCCCGTATCCCGCCCGCCGGGGCAGGGCCCGTGGGTGCCCGCAGGGGGGGCTGTGCGGGTCGGGGCGGGGGCGGCGGCGGCGCTGGCGGGGGCGGGGGGCGCTGGCGGGGGCGGCCGGTCCGGCGCCGTCCCCGCCCGCCGGGGGAGGAGCCGTCGGCGCCGGCACCACCTGCCCCGGGCCATGGTGCGCCGGAGGGAGCGGAGCGCGGCGCGGGGCGGGCGGCGCCGCGCCATGGAGCGGGCGGCGGGCGGCGGCCGCCCCGCAGCCGGTGCCCGTCCAGCCGCAGCCGCAGCCGGTGCCCGCGCCCGGGCGGTGCCGCCGCCGCCGCCTCCTCCGCCGCGCCGGCCGGGGCCGCGCCGGGCCCCCCCCCCCCGCCATGGCGCAGCCCGCGGGCCGCGGCGGGACGAGCCGCGAGCTGCCGGGCATCAGCACCGTAACCTACGTGTTCGTTTACAGCCCCGGCGGCCCGGCCGGGCCCCCCGGCCCCGGAGCCGAGCCCGCGCCGCACGCCGCGCCCGCCCCGCTGCGCGGGCCCAAGCGGAAGCTGTACAGCGCCGTGCCCGGCCGCAAGTTCATCGTGGTGAAGAGCTACGCGCCGCAGGGCGAGGGCGAGATCCAGCTCAACCGCGGAGAAGCCGTCAAGGGTGAGCGAGGGAGGGAGGGAGGGAGGGAGGGAGAGCGGGCGGGGCGCGGGGCGGGCGGCGGGGCGGCACCGCCACCGGGCGGGGGTCCCGCGCTGCTCCGGGGGTCCCGCACCGCTGCGGCACGGGGTGCGCTGGACGCGGCCATGGGGGGCCCCAGCCCGGCCGGCCCGGGGTCCCGCGGCACCGGGTGCGGGCTCTGGTAGGGGGTCCTGCACTGGCTGTGCTGGCAGTGGTTAGGGGGGTCCCCAGCCCGGCTGGGGGGATGGAGGGCCTTGGGGTCCCCAGCCCGGCTGGAGGGTCCCCAGCCCAGGGTCCCACGGCACCGGCTGCAGGCTCTGGGCAGGGGGCTCACGCTGGCTGCAGCACTGGCTGCGCTGGCCGTGGTGCTGCAGGGCTGTGGGGTCCCCAGCCTGGTTGTGGGGGCTGCAGAGCCTTGGGATCCCCAGCCTGGTTTTGGGGCTGCACAGCTGTGGGGTCCCCAGCCTGGTTGTGGGGGCTGCAGAGCCTTGGCATCCTCAGCCCAGCCATGGGGCTGCAGGGCTGTGGGGTCCCCAGTCCCAGGTCCCACGGCACTGGCAGCGGGCTCCAGGTGGGCATCCCGCTCTGGCTGTGGCACTGGCTGCCCTGGCTGTGGTTGTGGGGGTCCCCAAACTGGTTGAGATGCTGCAGGGCCATGGGGTCCCCAGTCATCTCCAGCCCAGGGTCCTGCTCAGCCCACGGGCTGGGGGTCAGCAGCAATGGCTGCCCTGGCTGTGTGATCCCCAGCACGGCTGTGGGGCTGCAGCTTTGTGGGGCTCCCAGCCCAGTTGTGAGGCTGCAGAGCCATGGGATCCCCAGCACGGCTGTGGGGCTGCAGCTTTGTGGGGCTCCCAGCCTGGTTGTGGGGCTGCAGGTTCCCTGGTCAGCTCCAGCCCTGGGGTGCCCTGTCCATCCCCGGGGTGTGTCTGTGGCTCTCTGCTGTGGCTGTGGGTGGTTGGTCTCACCTGTAACACAGGTGCCTGGCTCTCCTGGGAGCCCCGGAGGTGCCGGTGCCTCTCTGACCCCTCTCCCCCCATCCTGGGACTGGCAGTGCCCGGTGTCCTGCCCTGGGCCACTGCAGGGCCCCCCGGTGCCAGCCCACCTCGTGCTGGGGGTGGTGGGCACGGGAGCTCTTCCCAACAGAGCTTCCAGCCACAGCTCCCAGCGCCGGGAGCCGGGAGGCTTAGAGGGATAACAGCAGTGCCTGTTGTGTTGGACAGACTCCTGAGAGCCGTGTAAAACCTGCGCTGGGTCGTAAGGCAGCTTCCAGCAGGCAGGGATAACAAAAGGCTCCCTCTGCAAGCCTCCTAATTCCATAGTTTTTTCACAGAAAGTTTAAGGATCCTCTTTTCATCTTCCTGCCTCCACTTTTTCCGTGGATTCCTCTTGCACTGCGGGCTGGAGCAGCCGCTGAGCTGAGCTGCGTTGGCTGTAACATGGATCTGAGCTGGGGAGAGGGAGACAGGGCTTGCTCTTCCCTGCTTGGAATTGCTGCTTCAGAACCCTGTGAGCCCCGTGCTGAGGGAGCTGACAGCTCCCCCTCGGAGGTGGCAGTCCAGGCAGTCCCGCTGATGTCCCCACCGATGTGTTTTTCCCCCCGAGAGGAGGAGGTGGATGAGAAGGGCCTGTGGCTGGGGCGGATTTCTGCAGTGGTGGTTGGAGTTAAGGAGTGTTTGATGTGCTGGAGCTGCGATTCGTGCAGGTGTCTGATTCCAGGAGGCTGGAAGGAATCCATGGATGGACTCTTGCATCAGAAGTGCTTTTCCCAGTGCGTTTTCCCACCGTTCCCTGTCGCATCCTTCTGTATCTCCTCATGTGTTTACATCGAGTAGGTGGTCCTGGAGTAACTGCCACAGCATCCTGAATTCACTTATTCATCCCGAATTGTTTGCGTGTGTTCATGTGATCTCCAGAGAGAAAGCAAGTTGTGGGAGGCACTGTGGGGAGGAACAGTGGAGTGGGACGGGCAGTGGCCCCTCAGGGCTGGAATCTCTTCCCACTGGCTCCTTACCCTGTGGCCGAGGAGGCTGAGTGAGAGTTAAAGAGAATCCCTTCAGTGCCTCGCTCATGGAAACTCTCCAGGTTATTTGCTGCGTTGGAGATGTTGACGAATGTTTTTGGGGCCAGGAATGTTGTCAGCCCCTGGCCAGGGTTCCCTGGGAGTCGCAGGCAGGTCGAGGGCTGGGCTGAGCAGAGCCCGGCACTGCCACCGCCGCTGCTTTGTCATGTTCAGGGCACTCGTGATGCCTTTGGGAACGGGGGGAGCTGGGGGAGCTTCTCCCACCCGGGAAACAGGAGCTGGTGTGAGCGAAGATCCCGGACTGAGCTGGTGCTGGACTTGTGCTCTGAGCTAAGGGGGTGCCGGGGTGTCCACAGTGGGAGAGGCTGGTTGGAGAGGAGTCCTGGCCAGGGGTGTGATTTGCCAGCCTGGGGGGCTTCAGGGTCCTGAAGGGATGGGGGGGGTGACTGACCTGCCCAGGAATGGGAGTGTTGGGGTGTTGGGGGTGGAGGGTCCTGGAGGGAGAAGGTGGCAGCTGGAGCGTGGTGGGTGCAGGCAGTCTGGGGAAGGGTGGGAGATGGTTTGGGAGGTGCTGTCAGAGAAGTGCTGGATGGAATGAGCTGTGCCTGGGACGGTCCAGGGTGAGAGCCCTGCGTGGAGGGAGCTCTGCGAGGGTGCGATGCCGAGGGAGGAACCTGTCCAGAGATGTGAGTCTGGGTGAGGAGCTGTGGGAAGGGACCACCCCAGGGAGGAGCAGGGGACAGGAGATGGCTGGAATGGAGGCTGGGGTAGGGCTGGTGTCTCGTTCTGAGATGTGCTGGCGAGCTGACTTGACAGCCACCCCTTTGATGCAGCAGAATCGGTGATTTCGAGGGGCTGGGGCTGCAAACAGGCACCGTCAGGGAGGGGATGGCAGAACTTCTGGCAGTTTTCATCTTGGGAATTGCAGAGATGCTGGAGAAGAGTTGGAGGTGGAGCAGCACGAGCCCCTCTGGGTGTGTGTCTGTGTCTGGCCCCGTTTGCAGCTGCGGAGCAAACGCTGCTGGGTGGTGGAAGCTGAGGGTCCTTGAGTGTTCACTGCAGGTCCCATGTGGAGCTGCTCTTCCTTCTTGGAAGCAGATGGACTCCTGTGAAGGTCCTCCCGAGCACTGGTGTTAAACAGGGGGCTTTGGTACTGGATTTGGAGGAGCAGGAGATGCTCTGTGATGGGTTTCCTTGGGGCTTTTCAGGAGCATTTCATGCAGGTGTTTTCGGGAGCTTTTCCTGCAGCCCCGGGTCCCATGCGGAGCTGCTGTTCCTTGTTGGAAGCAAACAGGCTCCTGCAAAGGTTCTCCTGAGCACTGCTGTTAAACAGGGGTCCAGGTATTGGATTTGGAGGAGCAGGAGATGCTCTGTGATGGGTTTTCTCGGGCTTTTCAGGAGCTTTTCGTGCAGGAGCATTTCATGCATCCCTGGGTCCCATGTGGAGCTGCTGTTCCTGTTTGGAAGCAGATGGACTCCTGTGAAGGTTCTCCTGGATGCTGGTGTTAAACAGGGATCTTGGCAGTGGATTTAGAGGAGCAGGAGATGCTCTTTGATGGCTTTCCTCGGGGCTCTTCAGAGCAGCTGCTTTCAAGCTGGTTTCAAGCTCTTCAAGAGCACGTGCAAGTGAAGGGTGTCTGTGTTGTCTGTGACTGTCCTGCAGCTGTTGGATGACAAAGGCAATAATCAATGGAGTTATTTCGTTTGTAAGACAGAGAAAGAATCCCAGCAGAGGAGAGCCTGTCCTTGATCTGGTTGTGCCTGATAATGAGAAACGAAATGAGATGTGAGCGCCCCAAGCAAAGGGAGAACCAATAGTCGCCGGCTCTGAAATCACAAGGTCACGGGGAGAAGTGGTTCAGAGGCACAGCAAGGGCTGAATCTCCAGCCTGGAAAGCAGGGGGGGATTAGGAACACCCTGAGTCTTCTCGTTCCTTTGCACTTGGCAATTAGGAGGAGTTGCTCTGGAGCAACTGTTACCTCGTGCGTCCGACAGGGCTTCCTGGCTCTGGTGACATCCCCACTGCAGTGTCTGAGCTGGAATAAATGGTAAATTGGATTTCTGTTGGCCGGGGCTGTGGCTTTGTTGGGTTATTGCCGTGGCCGCGCTCGGCTGTGCTGGGGGTTGTTTCCATAGGAGGATTATTTTCCCGGTGAATAAAGTTCTCGCAGCGAGGATGTAGCTTTTGTTGGGGAAGACTTTGCAGCTCCTGTTTGATGAGCAGCCAGCTGGTTTCCTCTGGAATTTCTTTATCTAAGCCAGAAGCACTGAGGAGCGGGGCTGGAGGATCAGGATCCCTGCGGGAAGGTTGGGAAGCCATTCACAACTTGGAAGGTTGAGCCAAAGCTTTAAACTTAATTTAACTCCCCGTGCCCGTGGTGATCTGGAACAGCTGCCTCCTCCCCAGGCTGCTCTTCCAGCAGCATTCCCATTCCCAGTGTTGGAAAAGCAGTGGGACAGGGAGTCTGGTCAGTGAGTTGAGTCCTTGACCCCGCACAACTTCACAACCCCCACAAACTGCTCACTCTCCACCTTTAAACCCACTGATGCTTTTCCTCCTGCTATTCCAGTGGGAAGGCTGTTCTGGAACCTTCCAGACTTCTGGAAGTAAAAAGTATACATATAAGTAGATATAAGTATGTATAAAATATGTAGATGTATAATAAATAGAATATAAACATAATAAATAAGAAATAGAATAATAAACAGATGTAATAATAAATATAATAATACATTTAATAAATATAGATGTAACATTTTCACTCGTGTGAATTTGTATGTGCACTCTCAAAATAGACACCTATAAATATATCAAATGCATAATCAGTAGTTTATTCAGTAGTTAATACAGGAGAACTCTCTAACTCAAGTGTATTTTCTAATAGTTCCAAGGTGTCATTAGTTACAGTCTCAGGTTGTAATAAGAACATTCATCAGCCTTCCTGGGCTGATCTGGAACAAGAGGAAAACCAAACAAACCAGAACAAGCTTCAGCAAATATATTTATTATGTATACGGGTGTCATTGCTTTGTTTCAAATACCATAAATAGTTACCTTTGCTCATTTCATATTTCCAAGTTTGCCGAAGTTAAAAACCAGTTTTTACTGGAAACCACTGACCGGGGTGGTTGAATGGCTCACACTTGAAAACAGCCTTGTCTAAAGTACACAGGTTTCTCTGGCAAGGAATTCAAAGAAATATGCAGCAACTACTTTTAAATCCCAAGTTTTTCATCTCTCCCGACTCCAGAAACGAGTGTTGGTGGCCGGTTTAATCATTCCTGGTGTTCCTTCAGACACAACAGCCTGCTGGGAGACATCAAAGGCACCCTGACCAGGTCCTGGCTGGGGAGAAAGGAGGTTTCTTGTTCCCTTTTCCTGGCAAATGGCACAGCTTAGTCACCAGTTCTACCTGCCAGGCTGAGGTTGGTGATGTGCCCGTCAGGGATCCCGGGGAGTCCCGGCTCTGGCGAGGGC